GATTGTGATTCCCCATTGACTGTTGTTCAGGGGTGTCACGAGGAAAAGACATTAACTGATGATGAACTGAAACGCAAAAATGGTATGTGATTCTCCATTTGAGTTTTCATGTTTTCCAATTTCCATTATCTAATCAGTTATTTAATTTTCAAAATTTTTTAGTCGATGTCTTTTTGGAAGTGAAAGATTAAGTAATTGGCATTTACTTGAATTCAATTAATATGTAATTGGAAATTTGAGATTTAATTTCGTTGAGTCTTTTTGCTGTATTCGGAAACGGTTGTTGTTTAATATCAGTCTTGATCTCCAAGGTTACTTTTGGATAACTTTTGTTGTATCTATCATTTATATACGATTGTTAAAATTAAGCAAGTGCTTTGTGGTATGTGCTAAAACCAATAGATAATAATGAGTCGATATCCCCTGAAGACTTGGGAAATGTCCGTGAAAGTGAAATTATATTAAATAAATAATGAGATTTGAGTGATTCAGTGGTTAGGAATTTTGTCTTATCTATTTATCTCCACTTCTGTGGAGTGTGATTGTGGATTTGTGGTAGAAATAGTTGAAATTGAGATATCTTAAATCTACTGTATACATATATGAATATAGATACAAATAGTATTTCAGAAAGAGAGAAAGGTGATAATTTTAGATCTTTGTAATCTGTATTAGATCTCTATAAATAATATTTCAATGACTTACAACTTTTTCATGTTTGTCATACAAGGGCGGCTCAAGTGTTTGGAATAAATTTCAGTTTTCAATTTTGATTTTTCCATTTGACTTACTGTGTAGCAGTAAGTATTTCTTTTAATCCATAATCCTAAATATATTCACAAAAAACATAAACATAATAAAAAAATTAACTCCATCATTTCTAGACTTTTTGGTTTATTATTGTCGTTCCCAAGCCCGGATAAAAGAAGAAGTTTATAACATTAAGTATAGGAAAGGCCAAAGGGCCCCAAATTTTTTGTTCGCTTAGAGCCCCTAAATTGTTGAGTCGCCCATGTGGAATTTTCCTACAATAATAGTAAATTTTCATACCAAATCAAATGTAAAGGGTACTTCACATGTTTATATATATATATATATATATATATATATATATATATATATATATATATATATATATATATATATATATATATATATATATATATGCTTTGTGGAACATATAACGACACATCTGAGCTTATATGAGCAGAAACCAAAGGAAAACGATATGACCCGAAGCTAATTTAGAGAATCTGAAGGAAATGTATAACCAAGCATATGATTCTCAAGGTTGTACATTTCATGCCGAATACGATGTTGATTTCTTGGAAATATACGAATGTACATTTTACTCTCAAAGTTGTACAATTCATGCTAAGAAAAAACAAGTTGCATGTTGATTTTATGGAAATGTACCACTTTACATTTGAATCTTAAGGTGGTACTTTTTGTGTTGTATGATTTTATGACATTTTCAAACCATATATTGCAATGCTCTTCTAACCCTTTAATCTAGGGCCAAGGTCAATTTTTTCATATTTTTCTAAGCTCTTTGGCCGATTTCACAAGGGAGAACTTAAAAAAAACTACCATTAGCCAGGGAAATAACAATAGAATTAATGCTAATTGATGCTAAGAGGGGGAAATGACCTCCTGAAAGGAAGGGGGAAGATATTTTAAGGCTAAATACGGAGGGACTTACTTTTCACAGGGACATGACCTTAGATAGGAGAGTGTGCAAACTAAATATCAAGATAGATAAGTAGCATCGCCGCCTTGTATATTTTGTTGTTTTGTATGCTCTATTTTATGATCTTTATTTTTTATACTTGCTTCATGCGTATGCATTTATTTCATGACTTACGCTTATGTTATATGTTTACCACCGCCATTGAATTACACTTATTTTTGTTTTATATGCATGTTCTTGGATTCATATGTTTTGTACTATGTTTTGCTATTTTGTGTCTTATTGTTCACTCTTAGAGACTCTTCCCTTGCTTTCTTGTTTGTTTGCCTCATTTACATGTCTCCACTTTTAGCACATTTTAAAGGTCATCATACGGGTTTCAGTCTACCTCTTATGGAGGTATGGATGTCGATATCCACATTCATTGCCACATTTTAAGTGAGATTCTTTGGGTTTGTCGTGTTATATATAATTTTCTAAAGACATCTAACCATTATGTGACTCGGTAGGATTCTCACACTTAACATGTATTTTGGAGACTTAGAAGTCACCTTGGAAATTTAAAAGACTTTTGATGTTTGAAATAGTTATAACTATGTTATTTATACTTAGTTTTTTTTGTTAATTGTAATTACCCTTGTATACATTTTTAACAACCACCTTTGCTATGTTTTAAGTTTTTATATTTTGATACTTCAATAATTGACTAATGGTTTTAAAAACCTTTTTATAAATGCTTAAGATTATTTCAATCTAACTCACATGAGATGTAAATCATGTTAGGATAAAGAATCTATAAACACACAACAATAAAAATCTAAAGAAAAAAAATAAGAACACAAAAATTAACATGGTTAATAAGAACAGAGTTGTCGTGCTAATCCACAAAAAAACTAGAGAGAATTATTAGACTTATATAAATTACAACTATTATAATCAAGTTTCTACTTAGGACTAGAGATGTGCACGATGATATATTTATAATGACAAGGTTTACTCTTAATACTGCTTGTGAGTTATGCCCAAAATATCACCATCTGAAATAGACATTTTGGTTCGAGCATCGTAACTATGCTATTCGGCAACACAGACCTAAACTATTGATAAGTTTCTTTAAAGGCAATTAAATAAACGAGAAAATCATGTTTCACAACTCAACTTTTCGTAGATATCATTTCTATTTATTTACAAAAATCCATGTGGACTTCCTAGTTACCACACATGTTAGTCTCAACAACATGTTATAAATGTTATAAGAGGTTAAACAACAACTTTATTTGAATTAACAAGTTTCAAAATCCAAAATGCTTTTCTATAAAAGAGGAAATATTTTTTAAAAAAGGGTCAAAATCTTCAATATGCTTTTTTACGCATCTATCCTTTTTTTTTTTTTTTTTTTTTTATTCTTAAAGGAAAATAATTAGTTTTTTATACTTTATAAAAAAAATCTAATTTGTTCAAGAGAAGTTTGTGTTTGCAATATCATTTTTTATGATGGTTTTGATAACTCATTCTTTAAAAAAGTTGCAGGAGGCCAAGAGCACGTTGACTTCTTTGAGCTTAAGCCGGAACTTTTCGAATATAAAAGGCCCAATTCACGGCCCATTCAAGCAGACGTGTCTTCCTGCAACTCTGAATCTCTCGTCTTCATCGCCTTCCCTTCTTCCTCAATGGAACCCTAACACCCATTTCTCTCTCTAACTCTCACAAAATTAATCAAAACCCCATTCTTGAATTACTTTCCATACCCCTCTCTGTTCTTCGATCTACATTGTCAACGGTTCAGAACAGTGAGGAGCGGAAAAGGATCCGTTTCAAGCGGTGAAAGAAGCTGTAGGGCAAGTTCTATTATTTCTCTAACTTTAGTTTATACTTTCTATTTTATGGCGATTTCTTCGTTTTATTGACTTCAAATGTGTTGCCTCTTTTTGTGGGGTTATCGAGAAAATAATTTGACTTTATTTGTGGGTAATCGTAGAACTTGTATATAAATAAATACATCTTTTGTGGGATTGTTCAAAAGTAAACATCGTTGACCTCCCTGTAGCTCATCTAATTTATAATAATATTGTTATATAGTCGCAATTTCATTAAGAAGTAAATGTTGACTTTCCCTGTGCGATTGAAAACTTTGATTACAAATGTGTCTTTTCAATCACAATTGCCCGATCCCCGATGATCGATTTAGCTCAAATTACGTGAATAGTGTAACAACCGTTTTCGATTCCTGACAAAAAATTGAAATGGGTTTGTTTAGAAACGATCAAAAAGGTCTACAATTGATCGATTTTGTTTTGTATGCATCGATCGCCATGAAGAATGAGCAAAACTTCAGACTACATTTTCTCTATTCTTTCTAGAAATATCGTTGTTTTTTGGATATCGATTCAGTAATCAAAACTCAAAAGTCTCAATGATTGATTGATCTTCTGTTAAAATGTGGTCCATCATTATATATCTTCTGAAGTTGTAGTTAATTTGAGTTGTCATAGCAATCATACTAATGACCACAATGTTTGATTCCATTGGAAACATCACATCCTTTTTCAGATCTCTTAATCTTTTCCATTATTGACCATATATTTTCACATCATGATGATAATCGACCCTACAAGCTTTTGCCTCAATAAATTTTATTGGTTTTGGTTCTATGAACCTTTCAATTCTTATATCTCATAATCATGTCTACAGTAGTTCAGTAAAGATTTGACCTCAATGTCAGTGTCTCCATGCCCACATTTCACCTCCAATCTCATAATTCTTTGAAACTGTTATTCTTCCAACAACTTCTGAGCTGGCCCACAATTGTCTGGGCCTAGGGCCCACAAGAAGCCCAGTTCATATTGGAACTGAAACTCTCACACTGTGACTATCAAGACTCGAACCCTCATATGTTCATTGTTGTTTGTGTTATTATTTATGAATCAAGTTTGGAATAATACCTTTGTAGATGGGTTATGACCTTTTTATAATTTCCTCCTTGTTAAAATTACTAAAATACCCCTAACCTAAGAATCTCACAAGTAACACCTCTTGCCTCCACATAAATCCAATATAATATTGGAATATGTTGAGGCATAACATAACCTCTATTATAAGTTTAAGGATTTCTTAAGATACCTTGCTTTTTACACAATGCCTACTTGTCTTTCCTTGTAAGTTTCCCTTTTATCTTTTTTTTTTTTCCTTTTCCCATTTTATATCCAATTTTAATGATCCAGGTTACAAATCTTGCATTTTTAAGAAGCAAGACAACAAAAGTAAACATGTTTTCATAGCATTGTGGATCAAACACACGACAAGGGTAAAAATGGCATTTTACTCCCAAGACGATTCAGCGGATGATTATCTTTTCAAGATTGTTCTGATTGGTGATTCGGCTGTTGGGAAATCAAATCTGCTTGCTAGATTTGCTAGAGATGAGTTTTACCCTAATTCAAAATCAACAATTGGGGTAGAATTTCAAACACAAAAGATTGAAATTAAAGGGAAAGAAATTAAGGCCCAAATTTGGGATACAGCTGGACAAGAAAGGTTTAGAGCAGTTACATCTGCATATTATAGAGGGGCAGTTGGAGCTCTTTTGGTGTATGATATTACCAGACGCAGGACTTTTGATAGTATTGGAAGATGGCTTAATGAACTTCATAGTAAGTATTCTTGTGTGTGCAAAAAGACGTAAATGCCCTTTGCCCTCCTTATCTTTGTCATTGAAAATGGTGCTAGAAAGCTTGTCCAAGCTTGTCCAAGGTTAGGACAAAAATTGCAGGGTTTTGTCTCACCCGAAATGGTGGATTAGGATTCGATTCTCTCTTGATCTTTCATTTGTACAAATGACGAATTTGACCTTGGGTAATTTGATCGCAATGAACCTTTTTTTGAAAAAAAAAAAATGAATCTTGCAATGAACCGTTTTTTGTCGAACCCAAAAAGGTGAAACAAGCTAGTAAATAAACTTGCTATCGATCTTCTGTTTGTGCAAAAGACGAAAATACCCTTCTCGTAGTTATCATCGAAAACAACCCTACAAAGCCTGTCCCATTGATTATGTTTAGGGTTTTATGCAGAAAAGTCTTATTATTTTGAAATTTTTTTTTGAACAGAAAAGTCACGATTATTTAATTTTACACGATAATCTGTCATTTCCTGTTAAAATAAAAGGATTTTTTTTCGTTAATTTGAGCAAAGTATTAAATAATCAAAACATTTCCCAAAATAATGAGAGATTTTTGTTCATAAAGCCCAACATAGTATTTATGATAAATTGATAACGATTCGATTATTGTATTTTGACTTTTTTTTTTTTTTTTTTTAAATTTAAAATTTTAGCACATTCGGACATGAATGTAGTTTCAATACTTGTGGGTAACAAATCAGACCTTAAAGATGCACGTGAGGTTTCTATGGAGGAAGGAAAATCGTTGGCTGAATCTGAGGGATTATTTTTTATGGAAACTTCGGCTCTTGATTCATCAAATGTAATTACTGCTTTTGAGATGGTAGTAAAAGAGATTTATAATATTTTGAGCAGGAAAGTTATGGAGGTCAAGAAACCCGAGCCTTCATTATCAGGAACTGGAAAAACGGTTGTTTTGGAAACGGATTCGGATCAAGAGAATGTAACTAAAAAAGCGTGGTGTTGTTCATCTTAGAATCATTATTACTATTACTATTATTATTATATAAAGAAATTGGGGGTGTTTTTGGATGTGTTATAAGGTTAATAATGTATATGATGTGATGATTGTTGAGAGAAAAAAAAAAAAGGGTTTGTGGTTGTTGGAATTGTGTTTTTAATTAGGGTTAAATGTAAGAAATAGGAATATACTTTTATTTTATTGTTTTGTTTATTATAGAATCTTACTTTTCATTTTCTACATTGTATTGCTACGTTATATTTCAAAGTATCTACTCATTTATGGTAGTGTCATGAGATGTGAATTAAATTTTAGTGTTGTGATTGGGTAATATTTTAAAATTAATGTCGAAATAAAAATAAATTGTTTATGGTAAAAGATTGGAGTTGAGTAGATGTATAAAATTAATTACAAAATGATGAAATAAACAAACGATTTGCTTTTTAACATAGTTTTAAAGATTTTTTTATTGCCGGTTTACAATATTGTTTTTTTCTTATTTGTTTTTATGAGTGTCTTTTATCAGTTTATGTAATAGATATGTTAATAACTAAAATTTAATCAAATGTTTAACTTTGTTGATTATCTAGTTATTACATCTTCAAATAATTCGAACTTCGAAACATTATCTTCGTCATTTTTTATTATAGGGATATTAAAAATATTACCATTAGGAAAAAAACCAAAATCCGAATTGGCCAACTATTTTAAGATTTGAAAAATACACCATAATATTCAAATTGAATTATTTCGGACTAATGTTATGTCCAATTAAAAGTATTTTTTCCGACTAAAAATATATTTCGGATTCTAAAAAAACTATTATGCATTTCAATAACATGTTCGAAATATGATTAGACTAAACTGGAAATTTGGAAAAAAATGTTTCATTTTTAATGAAATTTGCCAAAAAAATAACATAGCAAATGAGAAATTAATACGATACAAAAATATAAAATGTGACAATTTGTTAAAAACCAGTGACTTTAGATATTTGAAAAGGTCATTCTAGAAATGGGTAGAAAGAGTTTTTGAAAAGTATCATGAGAAAATAGTTATATCTTTAATTAAATCGGAAATGGTCATCCGGACTATTTGTTGCTAATGTTTCAAGGTTTAATAGGTGGATAGGGTGGTAAATGTGGGTGTTAAAGGGCTCACTAAGGGTGAGAATGAAAGGGTTGAATAATGTTGCAAGGTTCCATAATTCAGTAATTATGGAAACTTGGAAGGAGGATAATGACTCACAAGGTGTGTATGAGACATGTCTCTACGAAGGAGAAGATAGACAAGTTCTAGATGAAGAATTGAGGGTGTCTAAAGCTTATTTTGGAATTTATGAGTTTCTTGATAAGGAGCAACAAGGAAATAACCATTCTATTTTGGAATTTATGAGTTTCTTGATAAGGAGCAACAAGGAAATAACCATTTAGCGTTAAAAAAAATTAAATGAAGAGTATGACGATGTGCATTCTTCCTTTGGTGATTTGGTGAAGTCAATAAAAAAAACCACAACGTTTTTCTTTGTTGAAGAATCATATGCATTTAATGAGATGAATCAGATTATGGGTTACTTCGCGGACAGGGACGAAGCTTGCTTAGGGCGAGGGGGGGGGGGGGGGGGGGGGGGGGGAGGGGGAGGGGGAGCCCCCCCTGATTTTTTTGTCAGAAATAAACCTTCATCTTTAGTTTTTATATATATTTAGCCTAAAAATGTAAAATTTATGCTTTGCCCCGCCGCTCTCCGATTTTCATATATAGTATATTTTCCCCTCCCCCAAAATAAATGTCCAAGCTCCGTCACTGTTCGCGGATGGTTGTACTCAAAATATTCAGGAAATTCTAAATACACATGGGGTTATGGATGTTTTTTTCATGAATTTGTTATTATTAAATATTAAAGGTTTAGGGAAGGAGTCGAAACAATCATGGGTAAGAGTTTTTTTTTTTTTTTTGTCAAGAACCATATCACCTTTTTAGCTTTACAAGAAACAAAAATAAGGCATTTGGATTTATTTGTTGTGAGATCGATTTGGGGTAATCTTACTTTTGGCTTTGATTGTGATACTTCTAAAGGTTTATCAGGGGCATTATGTGTGTTTGGGATCTTTCTATGTTTAATAAATGCAAGGTGATTAATGATGTCCATTTAATTATTGTTGAGAGTGTTTGGGTTCATACCTTGGTGTGTCTATTTATGACCCTCAAGGTGTTTATGAAAAGAAATAGTTATGTGATAATATTGGTGATATAATTGGTCGATGGAATGGTGAGGTTGTTTTGATGGGTGATTTTAATGAAGTTCCAGTTCGAAACTGAGAGATATGTTTAATAATTTTATTTCAAATGTTGGTTTGTTTGATATTCCTATTAGGGGATATTCCTTTACATGATCTTATAGAGCTGCTAGGAAAATGAGTAAACTTGATAAATTTCTCATGTAAGAAGGTCTTTTGGAAGTTTCCCTAATATGTCAGGTGTGATTTTGGACCGCCATTTATTTATTCATAGGCTTATTTTGTTAATAGAGTCGGTGTTTGATTATGGTCCATCTCTTTTTCGCTTATTTCATTTCTGGTTCAACATTGATGACTTTTTAAAGGTGGTAGAAGATTCTTAGAAGGTAATGGGGTTTCAAAAGCTAATGGGATCGTGTATCTAAAAAAAGAAAGTACAAGCCTTAAAGAAAAATTTGAGGTTGTGTAATAATATAGCCAAAAAGACCAAGTTAGCTACTAAAAGCACGATTCTTAAGGGGATGGTTGATATAGATATTAAGATGGATTGTGGGGTTGCCTCTACTTATGATGTCACTACTATAACTTCCTTGTGTAAAGGTTTAGATGATATTAATTAGGCTGAAGCATAAAATGTTTCCCAAAGGGCTAAGATTTGGTGGGATGTAGAGGAGAACGAAAATAATAGGTATTTTCATGGTATTTTTAAATAAAATACAAAAAGATTTAGTGTTTTGTGGTCTCTTCTCTAATGTATTTTAGGTGGGCACTCACGTGTTGGTTAAAGTTGAGTTTTTGGAGCATTTTCATTCTCGATTCTTCAAACTTATCGCTTCTCAGCCTCTTACAACATAAGTTCAAGAACTAGTTATCTTTTGAGTACTTTGGCATTTTAGAGTGTGATGTTAAAAATGAAGAGATAAAACAAAGATGTTTGGGATTCCGGTGTTAATAAGTCTCCAGGGTCGGATGGATTCACTTTGAGTTCATATGAAAGTTTTGGTATTTTGTTGAATAAGATGTGTTTGCTTTGGTGGTGGAGTTATTTAGATTAAGTATGTTCCCTACAGGATGTAATAATTTGTTTATTTCTCTCACCCTTAAGGTCAATGATGTGAAGAATGTCAAAGACTTTAAGCCGATTAGCCTAATTGGTTTCTAATACAACATTATTGTAAGATTTTGGCTAATAGATTGGCATCAGTGGTGGACGGTTTGGTCATTACTGAGCAGTCTTCCTTTATTAGAGGTAGAAAAATTTTGGATGGTCCTATGATTATGAATGGGATGGTGTCTTGAAAGCCCATGATTCGGTGCAATAGGATTTTCTTGATGATATTCTTGAAAGGATGGGTTTTGGTGATAAGTAGAGGGGTGGATCCAAGGGTGATTGCATTCTTCAAAAGGGTCAATTTTGATTGATGGATAAGCTATAGAAGAATTCTAGTTTTTAGAGGTCTTCGCCAGTGTGACACGCTCTTGCCTCTTCTCTTTATCTTGGTGATGGAAATCTTTCATGTATATTTTCAAGGATTGATTAATCATAACCTCTTCTCTGCTATGACTCAAAAATTGGTGTGCAATTATGAAGATTCTTATTTCCTTATCTTGGTATTGTGGGTAGAGGTAATATATCTAGATTTGACTCATGGCGTGATTTGATGCAAAAAGTAGTGGCTAAACTTTCAAACTGGAAAGTTAAAACTTTGTCATTGGGAGGTAGATTAACTCTGTTAAAATCTATCATGGGTTCTTTACCTACTTATTTCATGTCTCTTTATTAATCTCCTATTGGAGTTTTAAAGAAGTTAGAATCTTTACACGACAACTACTTTCTCATAGTTGATTTAGAAGAAAGGAAGTTGAGTTTGACTAGTCAGAAGAAAGTGTTATCTCATAAGCAGTTTGGGGGGTTTTAGTGTTATTAACATGTTTCTCTTAACAATTCTCTTCTTTATAAATAGATGTAGCACTTTTACACAAATTCTGAAGGGTTATGGGTTAAAGTGATAAAGGCCATTCATGGGTCTAATGCTTTTATTGTGTAACATTTTAACATCCATTAAAATCAAGCCAATTTAAAACGTTTTCAAACATTTAAAATCATGAGTTATTACAAAAAGGTTTCCAAAATAGTTTCATATCAGAGTATCCCAGAAATCATAGTCATAAATCGAGGAAGTGTACGGTCACGCATTTGCCTTCCCGCGGTCATCCACTGTACCTGAAACAATAATTGATAAATGTAAGCTCGAAGGCTTAGTGAGTTACCCCTTAAATTCCCATACACACAATAATACACATATAATAACAAACAACATACTATGGGTCTAATCATCCGTCGGGATGGAATGCTCATAACCAATCTAACGTGTGCACCTATATCAGATAATCATATAACAGTCTATAGAGACAACATACTAGGGTCCTATCATCCTCGGGATGGAATACCCTCAACTACCAATCAATCATGTGCACATATAACAAGTAATCTCCTACCATCATACAGACAGTCGGACCAACTACATGTCTCTAAGCATAACCACATCCTATCTACCATGATACCGATCTAACCGAGCATACCAACATATAACCACCCTATCTACCAAGATACCAATCTAACAGATCATACCAACATATAACCATCCTATCTACCAGGATACTGATCTAACAGATCATAACAATATCAATTCCAAATAAAAAATCAAAGGGCCGACCTTGGTGCCTTAGACCCTTGAGTACAATGAGGATAACTCACCTCGCAAGTAGTGCTGAACT